GAAAAATAAATTATTTGAAAAGACAATTGGGTGAGTTCTGAGTTTGACTTATGCAGTTATATATGGGAGGGAAAATAAGATTTAAGGTTTTTTTTTTTAATTTTATTCATCACTGAGTCTGGGCTTCTCTGTCTTACCTCTATTCTATTTTCTTCTTTATTTTGGTTTTGTTTTCTTCTGGTACTGGGAATCGAACTCATGACCTTGTGCTTGCAAGGTAGGCACTGTGTCGCTTAGCTAAATTCCCAGCCCCTTGCCTTGCCTCTATTCTAAATACCACAACTGGTGGTGAAAAGGAAATACCACTGAGATATCTTTTTCACTGGAAAAAAGTTTAACATGTTGCCTGTGGGTCCTCAGGTTGCAGTCCTGGTGACCAGAGAAAAGTCATTTTCCATTTTAAAAATGACATTTGAACATGTGTGCAGGTACGGAAATACCTTACCACTAAATCAATGTGTACTGAGTGCCCTCTGCTTGCCCTGAGTGCACTGTAGGGAGATTTATGTCTGGACTCCAGCTTGCATCAAATCACTGTGTCTCTTGCACAGTAATATGTGGCCGTGTCGTCCATGGTGACGGAGTTCAGCTGCAGAGACAACTGGTTCTTGGCTGTGTCTCTGGAGATGGAGATGCGACTCTTGAGGGACGGGCTGTAAACAGTGCTACCTCTGTAAGTTATGTCCCCCATCCATTCCAGGCTCTTTCCTGGGGATTGGCAGATCCAGCTCCAGTAGTAACCACTGGATGGAATGGAGAACCCAGAGATTGAGCAGGTGAGGGACAGGGTCTGTGAGGGCTTCACCAGGCCAGGTCCAGACTCCTGCAGCTGCACGTGAGCCAAGACATCTGGGGACAATAAAATCTTTCCTGTCCATCACCTGCTTTCAAAACTTTCCCAAGGACCCAAGTCCAACATTGAGGACACTCACCAAGGGGACCTGTCACCAGGCACAGGAGAAGACCAAGCAGTCTCATCTTCTAGACCGCATCTCTGCTTCTGGTGAGACCTCAGCCCTGTGTGAGGATGGAGCTGTGAGCTCCCACAACTCATAAGCAGACTTTGAATCTATAGTTGGAGGATAAATTTGCATATTGGGTGAGCACTTCCTATATAAAGGGAAGACTGGGGTGAGGCCATTTCTGATCCTTTTGTGCTCCTGAGAGTAGTCTCTTCTCCTGAATTCTAGTTGGATTTAAGTCAGTGACAAGTGGGAAATTGATTTCAGAGGAATGTTAGAAGCAGGGCAATGATGATCTCAACTTCCTGACCCTAGAGCAGCTTCCTCCAACTTCTTCTCCCTTCTTGTTCCCCAGCCCAACCTCTCCTTCTCACATGGGCTCTCGGGCTGCTGCCTCAGGACTCATATGAGCACAACTCCCTCTCTGTCTCTCTGATCTCTCTGCTTTGGTGCCATCCATGCAGTTTGAAAGCTTGCTTCATTGTCATTATTGCTGTCAGGAGAGGTTCACCTGCCTCCTGCTCGAAGAAATCCTGTGATCCAAGTCCCACCTAATCAGATCCAGTGTAACATGGAAATAAGGATGTGTGTCCTGTGCTTACTTGGCAGAGATGTTTTGAATCATTGGAGAAGAGAAGAAGGATGTCCATGTGAAATAATTTGTCCTCACATGACCTTGTGTAGCTACTGGGTAGTCATTCCTTTTGTCACTTCAGCTTCCCATCTTGAACTTTGGAAACTCTTCCTGAATACAAGATGCCTATCTCATGCTAGTTATCCCTTAATGAAAAATTATGTATTATGGACTCTTTGAATACAATGACAATGTCCTTAAAATTCAACATGAATGTGCACTTGCCAACCATATTGTATCCATCATTTTTTATGTTGGTTCATTTTTCTGAAAGAGAGTGCCACTTTGTAATCCAGACAGTGAGGCTGAGCACGAATTTTAACTCACTAGGTAGCCAAGGCTGGCCTCAAAAGGATGGTGATCTTCCTGACTTATCTTCCTGAGGTCCACCATTAAAGGCTTCAGGCACCATGCCTGGTGCAAAACTTATGCTTGCTTTGTGAAAATAGGTTTCAATTCAATTTCACCTCAGTCTTGATCCTGGAATTCTACTTCCTGAGACCTCCATTTGCTGGCAATATGCACATGTACTTGCACCACTGTTTTCTGGCCCATTCTTCTTTTCATCATCCTTGGAAATTTAGTTCCAGATCGCAGTGACTTCTCTCTGTCTTTGTCTTTTATGTTCCATATTTCTATTCCACGTTTAACATCCTGAAGATTCATAGAAACCTGACAATAATATTCTTCAGGAATAAGAGAGATGAGGTCCTTACCAATAACAGTAACAGAGCTCATCACATCCAAGAGCTTTGAGGACAAGACACTCACTATTAAGATGGACATAACTTCTGGACCAAAGCAAACTGGTCAGATCTTGCCTTATTTCAGCCATTTTTCATGGAAGTCTTTGATGTTTCCTGCCACAAAAGCATGAAGAATACTTATAATATAATTGCCATATCCAGTACAGAGCACAACAGACATAATTAGTGAGGGGCTTTGAGTCACTGCTCTTGATGGAGGAACCACCTAGGATATGTGCATTTCATGGTGGGAAATCTCGAGGGATTTCCCTTGGGGAGTTACACAAAGGGTGAGGGAACCTTCCCATCTCGTTGCAAGCGCCAATGTTTGTGCTGGATCCGGGCAGACATTTGTCCATATTTGTGAGTGTAGAGGATGTGAGTGGGCCAAAAGCCCAAGCCATTGTCTCAGGTGTAAAACTCTAGAGCTTGACCACCTCCTCTGGTCCTCTGTGGGCAGGATGGGGCTCCCTGTGTGAGAGCTGCTTCTGTAATTCCCATGTCTGCCCCTTTACTATGCATGATCTGGTGCCCTTTGTCCTTTATGGGTTCCCTTGAAACCCTGTGTTAGAGCATTTCTTGCTCATTAACCAATGTTTCCATGTCAGTAATATTCCCAGGATGGAATGATATTAACAGTATAGAGGAGGATGTGTGGCCACAGGAGATGATTCTATAGGAACGGGTTTCTCTGTTTCCTCTTCGAAAGACATAACCATGGGTTACATGCTGCTCTACCCACTTATATGTATACTTGCTTATGGTTTTTGGAAGATCTCTATAACACATAAATTATTTTAATGTTTCCTCTGCTCACTAGTAGACAATGCAGATTTGTGAACAAGCCAAGACCCCGGCAGAATGAAAGGTATAGCAGGAGGGTTATCCTGGCACTCTGGGCAGAGCTATGTTCTTATAATTACATACACTGGATATCTCAGGTCTGCTTCTGAGAGGTCTGTGAACTACATCAAGTTATTTAGCTTTTCTGTGCCCTGTAAGTCATAGGAGACAAATCAAAGAAATTATGGCACTACCACATAGAAGTCATAACATGTTCTTTGAGGTAATACCTGCATAAGGATTCTAAGGGAAAATAGAAAAAATGAAAAAATATTAAAATATCTATGTCCTACCTAGGGGCTGACTCCTGCAGCTCTCCCCAGTCAGGCACCTGGGTAGGAGATCCCCACCATGAAATATACATGGCCTCATCTGTTTTTCCAATGGGACAGAGAAGAAGGTGGTGGTGGTGGTGGTGCTGCTGGTAGACCCACCACATGCAGATCTTTGTCACAAGCCCAAATGTAGCCATGGTCAACAAGGGTGACCAGACTCCAGTGTGTTAATGTGGACCCACACTGTCATCAGGAGAAACCTTTTACCCCAGTGCCCCACTTGGACATGCAGCCCTGGCTCCCAAGTCCTCTGTATGGGGTCCATCCGTGCACTATTCCAAAAAAGCATCTGCAGCTTCACATTGGTTCTGAGGTAACAAATTCAGGTAGGTCCTCTTCATAAGCTTCATAGTTCTTGAAGTGCTTTGTCTAATTATTTTTTCTTCATTTATTAGAATAGACTCGGACATACACAACTGATTTAGGCCTTCTTGCACTTTGAATAAGTTTGAAATGACTGTAGTCCTCGCCCATGCATGTGCTGTTGGAGGGATTGTCTGGATGATATCTACGCAGGGTTGACCATCACGACAGGACAGTGTGGCCAAGAATAGATGGAATGGGCTCCACAGTCTCACTGGTGAAGAGCAGGCTGAGGAACAGGACTCAGGGAGGGAGGCAGGAAGCGTAGAGTTTGGAGGTGGCAGGGAAGATGCCCCTGACTCAGCAAGTGAACTGCTTCAGTAATGTACTTTGTATCCTCTGTCAGGTTCTCAGAGGTGTACACACAGCAATGTGTGTACAATCATATCAACAGAGAAAATAATACTCAAATGTTTAGAGCAAAAGGGCTTTGCAGGAACTAGGACTGGATGACACGGAGATGTCTGAAGTTAGATGGCAGATATGCACTTAACAGGGTGGTTATTAATCATTAAGTATTTTTAGAACAAACAATGACTTATGCTGTGTAGTCACCTGGGTTGTAAACAAGGATTTCATTGAACACTACTAAGTGCATCTTGTCATCAGCTAGACATTAAAAAACAAAAAGCCTGCCTCCATGAACACACAATACTGTAGAATTAGAGACAGGAAAATTCCATGGAAATTCTCCAAATGCCTAGGAGAGAGTCCCAGTGTCTTAGGACATTCTTCCAAATGTCTTAGGAGAGAGTCCCAGTGTCTTAGGAGAGAGGACAATCAAGTGGACAGACAACCCTTCAAGTTTTCTCAATTGCCAAAAGTTGATTTCTGTGCTCCATGTGTCCTGAGCGTCTCCTGCTGGTCGCAAGCATATCTGCAGGGAATTTTGTGTGTGGGATTACATTGAGGACCCTTCCGTGTCTCACACAACAGTAATACATGGCTGTTGTCAGTGGTCACAGAGTTCAATTCTAGGAAAACCGGTTCTTAGCTTTGTCTCTGTAAATGGAGATGTGGCTAGTGAGAGATGGGCTGTACTTACGGACACCATCATAGCCTGTTTCTCCCATCCACTCAAGCTTCTTCTCTGAGGTCTGGCAGAGCCAGTGCCACGAGTAACCACTGGTTGTGGTACAGATCCAGAGAGAGGGTCTCAGAGGGTTTCAGCAGGCCAGGTCCAGACTGCTGTAGCTGCATCTGGGACATCACCCCTGTGGATAAGTGTCACTAGTTCATAGCTGTCATCTGCTTTCACTACTCCCCCTTGATCCATTGGTCCTTATTGATACTCACCTTGGGAAGCCATCCCCCGGCACCGGAAAAGCCCCAGCAGCCTCGTTTTTCAGACCAGAGCTCTGCCTTCTCCAGCCCAGTCTCAGGAGAAGACTGCAAGCTCCCACAGCCTAGATTATTATTTGAATAATAATTTGCCTATGAGGATTCCTTGATATGAGGGGAAAGAGTGAGAACAAATTGCTTTTATACTGTCTGTGTCTCATGAGACCAATTCTCTGACACTAAAGTCCTTTTGAACTCTGGTAAGAGAGCACACATTCTAAAGAATGTTGCAGAAATTTGTCAAAGTGTGATCCCATCTTCATGATATTGGAGGCCCTTTCCTACAAAGCCCCTGTCCCTTCCTGAGCCCACGCCCATTTCATCTCATTCTCCCTGGCTCTGGTCCTTGTGTGCTCAGTGCTGATGGTGGCACAACTCCTGCTTTCTTTCTTTGTCCTCTAGCCTAGGAGGTGGTCCCCATGTCCACTGAGATCTTCTTATATTGTCACTTAGCTATTGTCACATGAAGCCCAGGATGCCTCCTGCTCTAGGACAGCCTGTGATCTGTGACACACCTGTTCTGGATAGGAGACAACCTGGATGAAGTAATGTGTGTGCTGTGTTTCACTGGCAACAATACTCCTAGGCATTTGGGGAAGAAACAGAGGTGACCTGTTTAAATGTTCCATTGCTGTCACGGTTTGTGTCTGGGTGTCCCCCCAAAGCCTCATGCAGTCATGGAGCAGGCTTTTAGAGATTGATTGATTAGGGGTGTGAGAGCTGCACCCACCCTGGGGTGGATAGTTTGCATATG